CTGCTCATCAAAGGCAAGTCGTTGAATGGAGATTCGAGATCGCGTTTCAGCTCGACTTGTTCCTGATACTCAAGCTCGCTGCTGTTGTCTACTTGTTCAACCAAGATGGATCAAGACAAAGGCTTGCTGTTTTGGTGTTTTTCGCGACAATGATTTACCTGTAAGTATTCTGAAAATCTGGTGAATATTTCTTGGAACTTGGTGTGGCAACAGATGTATGTTGAATATGTTAAAAGCCAAGTACATTGACTCATGATCAATTTGACAGATACCAAACTGGAGCTCTTCGACCATTTGTTAGATGGCTTTCAAGAGTCATGCATAGAGCTGCAGCACCACCTCGGCCTCAAAGAAATGTTGTTAGAGCAGATAATGATCCACCAGCAGCCGCAAGGCCACTTAATGACAATGCGGTTCCTGGTATGCATAATCAAGATCGGTCTTAGTCTCTTATCCTCTAGATTTGATATATCTTTTTCTGTCTCTCATCGATTTGATGCTATCATATATACATGATATCTTATTCAGAAGCCATTGCTGTATGGTAACATAATCTTCTTTATATGATATACAGAAGGACAAGGTAGGGAAGAAAACGAAGCAGGGAACCGAGCTAATGCAAACGAGAATGAGAACGTGGTTGGTCTTGAAGCAGGGAACCATTGGTGGGGAATAGTGAAGGAGATTCAAATGATTGTTTTTGGATTCATAACTTCACTATTTCCTGGCTTCCACAACCACAACATAGATTAGAATATCGATAGGTACCTTGTTCTGCATAGTCGAAAATCTTTTTCAACACAAGAACTTGAACAAGTGTTTGCTTCTAATCTAGGCTTCCATATGTGAAACAATGTACAGAAATATTTAGCACTGGACTCAGTTTTCATGAATTTTCCACTAATTGTTTTGCTTATTATGACTCTAGTATGAAGCTAATATATAGCAACACCTTTAGAGAGAGAAATCATAATGAAGCACACATTTTTACAACCTGCAAATACAAACATTTACAAACTCCAGATTTCTCATATGATGCAAAACCATTATTTTATTCCTCACCAAGTTTCTGAAACAATC